CTAATAATTAATGAAGATTTATGTTTTTAATAAAAATATAGTGATTTTTACTAAAGTAAATAAATAGTCTAGAAAAAAAAAATGAAGAACTTCTAAGAAAAAGAAATAGAATTAAAAGTATAGGTAAAAATGAAGAATTATTCGAAACAATAAAGCAAGAGTATAATATTTATGAAATTAGAAAAAGTGAATCAACTGTTAATAAGTTACAAAACAATGAAAATGGTATAGGGCTATTTAAATTCCGAACAAATAATTAAAATAAATTGAAGAAAAGTACACGATTTATTAGATATTATGCTAATAAAAGAAATTATTAACCTTGTTGAGGATAAAAATAATTATTTATATAGAAAATACGTAGTTAGTTATGTGGGTACTTGATTTATTAACTGGGTGTTCGTTGACATTACTAGAGTATTGTTTTATTAACAGGGTGTTCGGTGATTTTACTAGAGTACTGATCATACAAATTAATAAAGAACACATAGAGATGCCTCTACGATTTTGTTGTATTTATATATATTTTTAAATTCTTTGAACTAGTGATCCTTAATTATGTAATCCACATCAGTCAGCATTCTTTTATTTCAATATGCATTTATTTACTTTAATTAAAATACTTATTTTTATTAAAAATTTAAATCCTTATTGAATATTGATTATTAATTAATTGTAAATTACTAGTTTATTTGTTATGAGTTATGTTCAGCAATTTAAATATATTGCTGTTGAATTAACAAACATAAACAATTAGTAAAAATGAAAATTAATTATATGAATATTAATTACGTGAAAATTTTATTATTATAAGTATAAAATTTCTCTTACAAATTAAAAATATAAAATCTATGTAAATTAAATTCTTCTGTATGTTTCAAATCTCATCCTTATGGTAATAAAAATTTTTCCAAATTTTTATTTTTAATCAATTTCTCAACCAATCCCTCTTTTTTTTTTTCTTATAACAAAAAAAAATATATTTCTTTTTACGTATTTGAATTTATAAAAAGAAAACAAAAAAAAATTAATAAAATTTTTTTTTTTTTTTCGGGGGTGTTCATGGCTAACCATGTATTCTTCATATAGCTAGTCATTTTTATTATCAAATAGGTTAATAAAGCCTTTTACTAACCAATAGCACATAGGTGTAGCTATTAATTTTCTATTTTCAGTTTTAATTACTTTATGTTATAAATATCAATAAGGTTTATATTGATTATTGTCACCATAATGTTTCAGCAGATTTCTTTAATAATATTATAACTGTATAAAATAACATTATCAACATTAATATCTATACTTACTCCAATGATTTCCTCTTCAATATATTTAAGTCATCATTCATTTGTTTCCATCTATTATATAAATAAATTATTATTAAATTTAATGTATTTTCCTGCAATAATATTTAAAAACTAGGACATTTATAATCCATTCTAAACATAATAAAATATGATGTTTCTTCTACAACTTCGTGAGTTGTATTAATATATCTCAATAATTCATTTTTTATCATTTCATCAACAGGTGTATCTTTTTATACATATATGGTCTTAAGTATATAATTAAGACTATTAAGAAATCTTTCATTATTACCATTCTTTTGAGGATAATGAGTATTTGCATGGTACAATTTTTTTTTGTAATTATCCTGTAAACTATTTCTTAAGTTCTTAACTTATTTAAATAGAAGCACGATCTATAATAATACTACTGGGAAATCCAAATATAGGAATTTAGATGTTTGTAATCATACAAATTTTATCACTAGTTGTGCATTACTTTCTAATCACACTATTTAACATAAACAGTGAATAGTGATTTAATGCCATCTGAATATAGTACTTTTCTTCTTTACACGTTTTAAATAAAATGATATATAATGAGACCATATAAAATATATTAGCTTCTAATAATTACTGGTTATTAGGCTTAAACATTTTATTATACATTACCTGATAAACTAAACAATTCGTGATATATTCCTCAATATATCGAATAATAATTATTTTTCAAAGGTTTTGTTGAATTTTCTTTAAAGTTTTATTGACTCTACAACATCCAGTAAATTTACTATGAAAGAAATACATTAAATGAATTTTATATCTTCCTCGTATATATAATTATTCTATTTTGTATTGAGTAAAAAAGTTATTTATACATACTACATCTACTGGAATATTAATTTTCTCTTATAATATCAATCATATCTTGATAAGATTTAATAACACAAAAATTTTCATAATACTCCAATGACTTAATCCAAAATAAAATTATGTATTTAAGATTAGTGTCATTATTTATTGATTTGATTATCCAATAATCTAGACATTTTTGAATTATTTGAATCATGATAGAGAAAATAAAATTATAAAAAAGAATTATATATCTCATGGTAATTTTGTACTTGTATCTATATGTAATTGATGATGTTAAAATAATAT